TTTGTAAAGTCCTCCGCGACACAATATATATTCCTAATGCGGAAGTTGTCTTTAAAAAAAAAATTGTGTCTGGGTGTAATTTAAATATAAAAATATTTATGTATTTAGTAATGTTTCAGTATATTTATCATTAGTGTAGTTAGTATAACAACAGGCTCTGCCTAGTTTTTGATCAGAAGCCAGTGTATAAAGAAGGATTCGCAAGTAATCATCTGTACATAGTTTAAAATGAAGTCGCTTTTTGTTCTTGTACGCTTAGATTTATCAAATTACGCAACGGGTTTATATGTGGTTTTTACCGATAGAGAAATTGGTTCAAGAGGCTTGTATATATGTATAATACATGCATACATAGGAAATCCGAGAATTGTAATGTGACGTAGTAAAAAACATATTTTTGTGCGCTTATATTGCAAGGCGCTGGCTAAACATTACGATATAGACCAAAATAATGTACTACGGAAATGTATATCTTAAAAAGATCCATTAAAAAGTCTAGAATGGTACATGTCTATCGCCTGAGGATAACTCACAATAACCATTTTTATTTTTTACATTTAACAAAAAATAATGGGTAATTTACAAAACTACTTTAAACAATATAGTATTATTGTTTACCCAAATAAACACTTATATTGGTATATTGTATATTTACGAGTACTGTAGATCAAAATTGACCCATATTGCATATCATTAAACTGAATATCTTAGTACATATCAGAGATTTTCAATGCGGGTCAAAACGGCCGTCGCCGCTTCTGGCTGTACGTCCATCTATGTACATTGCACCCGTGCGAAGCTGGGGCGGATCGCTAGTTATTTTATACAGAATTCGAATTATGTACCTGGAATTGACATTATTTATTTCTTTACCTGCTCATCAGCACTATCGTTACAGGCTAACCCTAATTTGATAGTGTGGTCCTTAATTACTATAACATATAATAAACATGGTTACTTTTGTAAACTCATTCAGAAAATAAGAAAAAATGATAATATTTTGTGCCACCTTGTTTAGCATAACTAGAGTCCTCGTTACGGGAGCCTTGCTCAACAAATTTGTCCTAGCAGATGATACCGCTAGTAGACGCGGCCAACGTCTTTGCGACACATACTTCTCGAGAACATACAGATTTACCTCTTTTTCAAATACCTGGATTTGAAGCCTTGTCACGCAATAAATTCAAAATATTTCCCTTCTAGTTTCCAGTTTATTATATCCAATCATGCCTATCACAAACAGGGTCCGATAGATCAACGGATATAGTGGATATACACCAAACAGTCTAAAATACAGAAACTTAGTAAATTTATTTCGAATACGCTCCAGCATGAGACTTTACACATTTAGCTTCATGTGGAGCCCAAATAATCGCATTACACTCTAGCTAACTTCTAACCAGAGCATCGTACAGTAACCTAAACATGTCTAGGTATATAGAAATACTCATATTTTTCCGTTTGAGCCGAATATGCCTTTAAACTCTTTTGTGTTACGAGATATTAGTAATTACATAAACATTATTTACAAAACTGATATTGTATACAATAAAAGGCATAATTGACGCCATATTAGATATACTTTCATACTCATTTATTTTTAATTTGTATTTAAAGGTCCGTATTTCGCTGCATAAAATTCTTACAAAAAATAAAATCTTAGTTTTCCGTAACATGTTTTGTTTAATATCTTTTTTTTGTTTTTACTTGTACTGTATATTCATAAACTTTTTTACCATGCCGTAGTCTCTATCGAATTGTTTCTTTAAAATCGCTTTATACCTGAGAAATACGTCAGTAAAATTTTGCTTTCAGGCTTCCCAGGCTTTTCAGGTCAGTAAACAGATTTCCTTTCCCCAATATTTTGCACGGCACGTTTAGTGATGCGTCAAGATTTTGCACTCGAGTGTTGAATAAACAAAGCTAACGAACTTAAACTCAAGAACATTTAGTTATAACTGTTTACTCTACTAATTTATGTGTGTTGTTTATAAACGTAATATTGACGAGTGTTTATCAAAAATATCTAACAATATAATACGTAATAGGTTTGTTAAAATTCTACTTAAAATCAAATTCATCAACATCAACAGCCTTTAACAATGCACTGCTGGATATAGGCCTCTCCTTAGAATGGAGGTTTTGGCCTACTACACCACGCTGGCCAGACAGGTTGGGTTGTGTCAGGTTTTCCATCTCTTTGCAGTGCTGTTGTCCTGGGTAGTTTGCTCCCATAGTCGGCTCTTACACGACACCACATTATAAAATTACTTTATATAAATGCAAGCATCTGCAAGTATACTCAAAATCATAAGCAGAGTCCTATTACCACTCATGTAATGGGAGACATTATCATTGTCTTGCAAACGCACATTGCGTCACCAACCTGACTGACTACTCCTGGTCAACAACACGACTGTCCACACTGTGGCCGAAGTTGCAGCTCTCGAATCAGACTTAGTATCCATATTCGTAAGTGCCGAAGATCCACCATGGACGCCGTATAAATGATCTTTTGTAGATTTTATTAGACCTATGATGAATGGCAGACAAGCCTATTACCGCTAACGGGTACTTTAAGCTTTAAGGAAAGTTTTGCTTCGACACAAAAGAGTCGACTCGACCAGAGTGATACAGCCACGACCTCACAAAACCGGTGTTAAGGAATTTTCACCAAGTAAGTGGGGTGTGGTAACGGATTAAGAATACGAAGTGTCACCACCCAAAATTCATCCCATGGGTGTCGTAACAGCCGACTAAGGGAGAAAACCATCGAATAATCGCCGACTAGTCACCGACCTCAAGAGTGGTCGGATAGTCGGCGTTACCGACTAGTCTGAATATCTCTAATAATAATGTGTTAAGCCGCGCATAACAGAAGGAAATAAAATTTTAAATTGTTGTCAATCAGTCATCTCAATGGAGAGGAAATTAAAGTATTACACCTAAATTAGATTCATTTCCGAATTGAGGGCATAAAGCTTTGACTGGTTTTATTATTTCGAGCTACCACGTGATAAAAATCGTAATTTCAAAAAGTGTTTTTTTTTGACAAAAGGTGCAAAGTGAAAGAAATTATTTAAAAAACTTCTTAAAATAAACATATTTAATCTATAACTCGAGTGCTAAGTCATGTCACATAACTATACTTCCTTAAACTAATCATTTGAATTGTCAAATAAAAAATAAATAAATAAAATATTGTTTTCGTGATAAAAGTTATATATTATTTATTATTTAAGATGTAGTATACTTACGTCAAATTATTTTCTTTTAACGTTTATATTCAATGACTAGCTGAGACCCGCGGTGTTACCCGCGTTTGTTGTTATAACCGCGGGCAACGCCGCGGGGCGAAGCTAGTCTAAAAAAAGTAGCCTAAGTTACTCCTTATGTCATCAGCTATCTGCTAGTGAAATTCCCGTCAAAATCGGTCCAGCCGTTCCAGAGATTACCCGGAACATACAGACAGACAGACAGACAGACAAAAATTGTAAATCATGTTATTTTGGCATATGTACCGTGTAAACAGACAGATGCATTTAGTAAAAAGCGGTTATTTTAATATTATAAACAGACACTCCAATTTCATTTATTTGTATAGATGAAAAATTCAAAAATAATAGTACATCAGTTTTGTTTCGAATTCTCTTTTAAGATTTAATGTTATGAAAACTATGAAACAGTTTGTTTTAAACGTAGCTAATTAAATGACTCATAAATAAACTCACTTAATAAAAACATAAGAAAAGTAAAATTAATTTTGGCAACAGGCGTCATTACCAAACTAGATTACAGTACTGGGTAAAATGAACGTAATTCATAACATACCGAAGAGTACTTTGGTTTAATGGACACTCAATATCTCTGCTCAGTAGACCGTGAGCAATATAAATTACTAGAAATTCCCACAACTCTAATATTACATAGAGTGGGCAAAAACAACATTGGAATGAAATGCTTTTTAATAAATAATTGGAGTGCACTTACTTACATTTTAATAATTTATATTAAAGAACCTGATTATTAGATTATTAATTTATTGATATTAACTATCCGTGTGGTGACGGATTAAGAATACAGAGGGTCACCATCTCTATTCATCCCATGGTTGTCGTAAAAGCCGACTAAGGGAGTAAAATCGCAAGACAACAGCACTGCAAAAAGAAGGAAAACTTGAAACAAACCCTATACCAACCCGTCTGGACAGTGTGGTATTGGGCCAAAACCTCCATTGTAAGGAGAGGCCTCTGTTCAGCAGTTGACTGTTAAGGGCTGTTGATGATGATGATGATTATTATTAGAAAAAACACTTTATCTCTACCTACCTTAATATTTCAAGTGCAGATTTTAAGCAATATTTCAACTAGGTTAAATATTTATTAGGTTTTTCTTAATGGTCGTCTTTTGAACAAAATATTCATGATGGCAATGACATTTAATAAACAAAATATTCATAAATTTTATAATGAAAAAAAAAGACCAAGACATCAAAACGGTTTTTTTTAAGATTCTAACTTTCGATGCACAGATGCAAATTTTAATATACACAATCATAGCATTGTAAGCCCATAAGTTTTCTTTTGTCATTTCAATAGGATTTACGTATTTGAATACAAAAGAGATGGCAGCAACATTAAATTAGCTAATGATTCACTAAATAATTATCACAATGAATGTTTATCCAATATTAATTAGAACTTGTGTATGAGCACATTTATTTAGGTTTATTCTGTAATTTGGCACTCATAACTGAAATTACTAATAAATAACACAGTAACTACAATCATGATTACTAAGTATTCCAACTGGCACTGACTGTATTTTATTTTAAGCATAGTGTTTGAAATTAGATACATTCAATTGTGTTTCTGAATCATTTTTTTTTACGTTATTCTTCTTTATTCTTCACAATACACTATACTCACTATTCAGCACTGTTTTATCGCACATAGCACAGTAAAATCCTCAATCCATTTTAAAATCTCTTTTTGTTTCAGGTAAATTCCGTCGAGAATTCCACAGGTCCTACTTCAAATGCTTCTGCTGCTGTCTCTCTACACCATCCCCGGACCAAAACGGCACATCTTTCGCTCCAATCGGGAGCTCCAGAGCAGGAACCACAAGAACTGTCGTCCGCCGTAACGATTCGTACGTCAGTTATCGATTGGCACATTTGTCTCCATCCAATCATAATATTCACAGAGACTATATCAGGAATACTAACACCTCGTTCATTGAACAAATGAATGGTAACCGAAGACCGAAGGTGAGAGACGATTCCATCAGTGAATCTGCAACTAGATTCACTCTAGCAGCTGATGGATGCAGAGATTGACAACTAGGCAAGGCCATCCTTTCTGATATACGTAACAGAGATGACATAGAGAGTTATATCGCAAGGAGTACAAACAGTATTGACTGCAAGCCACACTATGATTGTTTCAAAGATGGAAGGATTGATGAAAGGCACAGTGACAATGCTGATTACCGACATGTTGAAGAATGTAAGGACTTGAGTGATGATGATGTTAAGAATGGTTTTAAATTCAAATTTAATCGTAGCTTGAACAGTTGTCTGATAAAAAATAAAAGGAAAGTTAATATTAATTGAGTTCAGTACATATAAATGAGTCAATTGTTTTCTTGGATGTCTGTTTGGATATTTAAACCCGGTTTCTAAAGTACTTTTATCAGAATTTCGTCTACTAATGAACGCTATTTGAATAACCTGTGAAAGTTTATGAATACTGCAACAAAAGCCAAAATTAAATTTACATTTGGACTTAACTGATATGATTATGTGTGCTATTCATCATTTCATTTCAAGCAAAATGAGAACCACTGACGCTTGTTAATAAACAAATTACTTGTTAATAGACAATTTGTTAATGAATGACCATAACACGCTATTAATAGTGAGTTCCTCTAACTTTATTCATAAATAATTATAATACAAATAAACCTATTAACATCAACAGACTTTAATGGTCCACTGCTGGACATAGTTTGTGTCTAATTTTGTAAACTTTCAAACTTGAACAGATCCTTCTAGTTGGAGCTTTTGTAATTGTTTATCGGTGCAGGTTTTAAAAGGTTCGTTTCGTATTCAAATCACAATAACATGTAATACACATCTTTATTGAACCAATAAGTCTACAACAACCTCGAATTTAACTGAGAAATTTAGAAACTGAATATGAGACGTGGTATAAAGAATAACAAATCCATATAAACAATAAACAAAAAAACATAGCCTTCATTGTTTTCGTGCCCTTACCCAATTACTTGGAGTCAGCTCATAATGTCTATTTTTATTGATATCACTGAAAACTTTGGATAATATTGCAGTAACATTCGGAGACGTCGCAGTTTTCATTTTGGTATATTATACTATTATAATTTTAAACACAATATTGAAAAACTAATCTCGGACCAAAATTCCTTTTTAGTAGTCAAAATAAAAGTGTCTGCACGATGTAGGAAGATGTTCGCACCATGTTTTAAACAATAGTTAAGATTGATCAAAAATCATTACTATTCATTATAATATATATTTCGATATCATAGTAATTTCCATTAATTAAGGTCCATGGTATCCATGGTATGATACTGCATAGCAGTATGATCTTTAAAATTTAGAAATTCTATTCTTTAGTAATCTGTTAAAGGATCAGCGTATAGCCTGTTGTTGACAGATTTAACCTCTCCAATTCATAAAGAATGAGCTGCATTTTAACTTTGGAAGCTTTTGCAAATATATCAAACGAAGTTCTAACATTGGCTTCAGCAACTTGATATATTGTATGAGTCATATTTTATAAAACTGCTATTTTTTATACATTTCTTTGTTCGCTAAAATAGTTATATTGGAATAATTATTGGTTTGAGAGATTATAGTGACAAATAATATTTAGCTGGCTAAATAATAGGTCTTTACCTATAAAGTTGGAGATTTTTAAAACCAGCATGTTCACTTTCATTATCTGTGGGTTTTTAAATAAATTTATTTCGAAAGCCATTTTGTGTTATTGCAAAAATAGTCATTTTTATCTTTCTTAATTAATTATCTCTTTTAATTTAAAATTTGGTCTTTTGTTTTAGATATTGTTTTGTTTTTGTGAAATTGTGGTAGTTTTTGGCGCCATGGATAAACTGAAAATCCATACAATTTTTGTAAATTCCTACGTGGAAGTTCCTCTGCGTAACACTGCTTGCATAAACACGGATCATTATCGACGACGATTTAAGGGGATAGTGGAAGTGGTTCGAACACAATTTACGGCTGAGAATCATTAGTTTCAAAACAATATTGAAGCACCCTCAGTGACCATAAGCGAGACTTACGATTCTTAGGAAGTCTACTTTTTCAAAATTTAGTCATTTTTAAGTGGGGAAAACTTTAACACCCGACAGGCAGTCCAAAACGCTTTCGCTGACTTCATCGCCTCACGTCCAGTAGACTTCTGCAGTAAAGGGATAAATAAACTGCTATCAAAATGGCAAAATTGTATAGATATTTTGGACCGTTACTTTTCATTAGCTAAATTAAAAAAATAACCAATTTTTTTAATTTTAAAATGTTCATACAAATCTCCAACTTCATAGGTAAATATCTAGTATTTTTTGTTAAAAATATCAATTTTGAAACTCCCGTGAAATTGTCAAGGCATGTAATAAAACAAGAAACAATTATTAAATAAAAAAAAACTCCAAAAAGTTTCTTTACGAATAATTGAGTCAATTTTTACCCCAAACCAGGGAATGCACTAAAGATCTGACAACCATTCACCAAAGTTTTGCCTCTAGACCAGCAAGGCTCTCATTCGTCATCTCTAAATTTATTGCCCCAATACTAAATGGCCTAAGACACAGTAAACAGACATCCAAATGTAAACTTTAAATTAGTTCTTGTAAGTTCTATCATATTCATAATATTATGAAGAACATTGTAAGATAAAGAGCAGCTTTGTCTCGTAACTTTGTAAGTACTAGGTTAAATTTTATGTTCAGAGTTGCAAACATTTGTTTAAATTCGTGAAATTCCATGAAAATAGTCATAATTTCTGAACAGAGCAATACTTGTTCTATCTGAAGACTATCGTACTCATTTTGTCATAACGTGTACACTTTTAGATACATGCATTAGGTTACTGATAAATTTCTTTCAAATTTTCAACTTTTGAACCCATTTTGAAATAATAATGTCACTGTAATACTCGTGTACCATGCTTGATACACTTCTGAAGCCCCCTTACAGCAGCAATTTCTTCACAAAGAAGGGGTTTTGTCTGCTTTTCTCCAATTCATCAATTATTTAGATCGACAAATCTTTACTAAAAAATTATAAGTTATCAACATTTAAATAAAAGCATTAGATTCACCTTAAATCCAAAATTCCAAATCCAAAATAGCGATAATTTCAGAGTTTTATGGTAAAAATAATACCTAATTTTATCTCCAATTCACTGCAAAATTTATAAAAACATTTGTGTGACCACGTTCTATTATTTTCCTGAAATATAGGTGTCATCAAAACTGACAAGCTTTTCTGCCACATATGAAATTGTGTGTCAGGTCCCTCGACATCATAAGTGTTTTTTATTTAACAATTGTAACCATCAAACGTTGTAACAGGTTCGTGTAAAAAGGTTATTTCGTGTTTACACCGGTTAAATAAATTATTGTACGTTACCTTATTTAAAAAGACCAGTAGCGTGGTTTTCATGGGGTCTTAAATAAATATTTTTTCTTCTACTTCACAAAGCAAAATGTTGAGAGAGTATTCATTTAAAAACGTTATTAACGCTCTGAAGGGCTGGCCAATTTTCAAAGGTGAATTTAAACAAAATGATATGTCTCTATTTTGATTCGTCACTTTAATGTAATGTTATAACAATCAAGATAAGGCACAACAAAATTTATTAAAAAGAACGAGTTGTATTTCGGAGATGCCCGATTAGTTGACTACTAGAATACATTTATTTTATTATTTTTGACACGGCTTCCATTTTTTGTTTTGTTTAATGACACACATGACTTACAATTATAGTTAAACCGCCGTAAGCTTGGCCCTCCTGATGGTTTGGAGGACGCGGGGCAGGGGTGCATTCAACCAATTAATTAGTGCGTCGCTGTCCGCCGGCAGTGACTGACGTGAAAGCAGGGCTGTACGTGTTATTTTTCTTAAGACTGCTACACACGGTATTATTTTGCAACATGGATAATCTGCCGACTCTGCGCCACAAAAAGATTTAAAAACTTGAAGTTCGGCTTACAGAGGTTCTATTGTTAAAGTTCTAATAAAGAATATTTATTATTTTACTTAAATTTTAAAATTGTATCTGAATATAATTTACATGATGAAGATAAGGTGATTTTATTAAAATTATTTTACAGTATTAAATTTTACAATTAATCATAAAAACTTACAATACACTGACATTATAATACATGGAAATAAATTCGATTTTTATTACATCGTGTGTAGATTAAATCTCAAACAGATAAATCTGAAGATGTTAGTACATCGTGTCGTGTATGGCCGAGCGCATCACCCGCCCCGCGTCCCGCAAACCATCAGGAGGGCCAAGCTTACGGCGGTTTAACTATAAAATATCCAAATCACTTAATGCGTTTAAAGTTTTTTAAGAGTTTCATTCATTTATCAGATCTTGACTTGATGAAAATGAGATTAACAATCCGAAAAAATAGAGAGCTACTGTGGGACTGAATTCTTTTTTAATATATCAGATATGTAACTGGATTTACCAAAGTTTCTTTGTTACACAATTAAAGCATATTTACTTACACGCAAACGTATCTAATTGGTATAAAAGTTAATTTAAATTCAGAAGCCATACGTTCATGTGTGCTTTTTGCTCATTTATAAATTACAAAACTGAGGCAGCCGTTCACAGAGGTCATAAATCACTGTTTGGTGTAATTCAACTGTCATGAACATTGAACATTACAGTACTATGTGACACAAAAAATAATTAGGAAAGTTTTCTGTAGGATAATAAATTATTATGTAACACACCTCAGGTAAATAAATCAGATTCAAAAATAGTGTTATTTAATCTTTTATCTTAAGAAAAAGACAACATTCAAAAATAGTTGTTCTGAGTCTGGATGTTCTTTGTGTCCGTTTCATGAATGTTGTCTTTCAAAGTTAAGTTTAATGCACTGAAGTGTAAACTTTAGGCGCGTTGGACGTTTTTGAACACCAACCAAAAGAATGTATTTTTGAGATGGGAAAAAACAATTGAACTCGCGACACTGTTACCGTTACCGACAACTTTATATTTAAGTATCTACATATATTGGCCGCATTTA